TCTCTGTTTTCTTTCTTTCTTCCTCCAACTGATTTCAGGCACAGATTGTTAATCCAGTCACAAGGGAGGGCCAATGACTCTCATTTCCTGCAGTTTGGTTCTCTTTAACAAAATGACTCCCCACTCCCTGAATTCTCTGAAGTTCCTCTGAGATATCTGCAGCTGCCTGGATGTGTCTCTGTGTCTTTCTCTGGTTTGCAGCCACAGATCATTGTGCTAACACACCGGCTCAGTGTGCAGGTTAAGAGCATGTGAGCATAGGGCACGAAGTTAGACAGAAAAGTGAACAGAGATGAAAAGGTTAATATTTTCCAGGCTTGTGGGTGGGAGGTGATAGCTTTGTTCATGCCGTGTGGGTAGTTTCTATGTGCGTGTGTGTGTGCGTGTTTTACCATTTAGCACCTTGTAGGGACCATTTTTCTTGCAAATACTTCTTTGTGAGGACGTGCTGCTCCTTATGGGACCCAACAAAGCCTGAACCACATAAGAAGTGATGCTTGGATAATGGTTAAGGTTTAGGCTATAGACTATAGAAAGGAATGAATATTAGGTGGAAGTCAATACAAAGTCCTTGTGAGGATAAAAAGACTTACTGTGTGTGTGTGTGTTTGTGCATGTGTGTGTCTTTACACATACACAATTTCCTGTGTGGGTGAATAAGAAAACTTTTATGTTAAGCATCACTATTGTCTCAGAAAATGGATTATTTAATGTAAGTAAGAGTGAAATGAGATGTGTGGCCAGTATGTTGGGATGATTGTGGACATTCCTATAATCTGTTCTTCTCTAGTATGGTGTGCTATGCTATACTACACTACTCCATAATAAGCTACCCTGTATTATATTATGCTATACTATACTGTACTGTGACAAGCTATGCAATAAATCACTAAATTCTCACCCATGAATCATACAGACTAAACTCAAGGGATGTGCTTTTTCTAAACATAACAGGCAATTTTGCAGAGGAACTTGATCTTCATGTACTTTCTTTCCCACAATGTGCAATAATAAAAAAAATTCTATTTATTTGGTTCAGTGCTACAGAAATAAAAAAAAGGTATCCAATTTAGCAAAACAAATAAATACATTTTAGCACCAATGGCATTTTTCTAGAGAATTTTTGCTGAAAACTTGGCAGATGGTCAGAATATCTCCAGTAGAAAGCAAATTTCTCTCAACCAAGTTTCCTTACTATCATAGCTGCAACCTTTCTAATTCAATTTCTTTTTCGTTTTTCACCTTACATCAAATTTCATATGAGAGCTGACTATTTGTCGCTGATAATAATACTGCAGAAGGACTTTTGTCATTTCAAAGCGCTGATAACTTTGTTGATTGCATTCCACATTTTAAAGTTTAGGCGGCGGCATCAAGCTTACAGAAACGGCAGCTGGCCATGGAAATAAGAGAGCGATTGTTTCTAGGGGAATCTGCGGACGTCCTTTCATATTCTGTTTAATACAAAGGATAAAATGAGTTGGATCAGCGTTGCTTGAGGACACAGAGGACAGGTAGAATATAGGTCATGCAGGGTTTGCATCGATTAGGCCTTGCCTGCGGGCTCAGCTCAGTCTCCTCATGCTGTTGTTCTGTTCTGTTCTGATTGGGCCCAGACCGGATGCGTCCAACAACAGTCCTGATAAATCCAGCTCTGAGGGGTTTTAGCTGGCATTATTCTTCTTTTTCCTCTGGAAACAAGACACCCCAATCTACACTCTTCACCATTGTCTTCCCACCAGACAGCCGAGCGAGTGAATGCTTGTGGCCAAATCCCCCCTGCCGCTCTTTCAATGTGCAGACGCAGGCTCCGCTGCCCACATATGCTCTGGGCTCTAATTAGGCAGACCGCTGGACGTGTTGCTGGGGGAAATCTCCCTGCAAAGACTTATCATCAAGTGGCAGCTTTTACAGATTTACGTCTTTTCATCTTGTTTATGTACAAGTGTGTAAGCCCGTGCCCAGGGACGACGGAAAGACAGGGAGATACAGCAGTCGTGCTCGAGGATGCGGAGCAGAGCACACTCCATAAATCTAATGCACAGTATGCCACACAGAGATACTGTATGCAACATGTTGCATACAATCACTACTGGTGCGCTTAGAGAGTGAGCAGCACGCCTCGGATCTGGTGAACTTGCAGAGATTGCCCATAAGACCTGCGTCATCAACAGCAAGGTTATTTCCTGTAGTTGAAGAGCAGCATGACTCTCTTCCTGTTCTCTTTGAGAAGACGCGTCAGGTCTATTCTTCCAGTCCTACTTTCTGGCACATTGGGTACAGCTCACAAGGCGCACAAGACGTTTCAAAATCACATAAATATATGTATTTTTCTGCGTACCAGATCCTCCTTCAAAAGGTAGCGTTCCATAATAGCATCCAGTGATTACAATAACTGCCTGTAGGGCTGGCAGCTTTAGTTTTGTGCTTGAAAAGCTGAAATCAGATTCAAAGAGGCTCAACCTCAAGTGAACAGGAGTGCAGGAAGAACTCTTTCGCAACGTACATGAAATTCCAAATTGACAAATGCATCAGAGGAGATGTTGCAGTGAGTGCAACTTGTGACAGTTTTGTTGATGTGAAACAATGTGTACAAAAAAAACTGTTACTGTGCTTGTTTTTCTCAGGTAATGTGGTTTTGAGCTACTTAGCAGAAATAGACGGACAGCAGTGTGACTGAGGTTGATTAAATCGCTCAAGGAAACAGCATTACTAAACTTCAGCATGCAAACAGCAGCAGGAGTTCCTTTGTTTGTTTTTTTTTTTGTCAAAGAGAGGATCTTTTCGTCAACCCCAAAGGTTGCTTTGCAACGCGGGTCTCTTCCAGAAGCTTCTTCATGATAACAAAATAATTGTATTCATTTTTTTCCTCTGTTTTTTCCCCTCCTCTCCGTCTCAGAGGAACAATTACTCTGCCTTTAGTCTCTGTTTGACCTCGAGCCTATAGGTGGAGCGCATTGGCTGTGGTTAAAGCCGTGGTTTTGCCTCTTCATGGCCTTGTCACGGTACAGCCGACAAGTGAACTCATCATCTCAGTGTGTGTTGCATATTCTATACTTCCTCATGCTGTAATAGCAATTCTAGATTTTTTTTTCTTTTTTTGCAAAATGTATTCGTGCCCAGCGCCACAGTTGAGTTCGCTTTCTCAGCCGTATGACTTGCATTCTCTTTCGTCTGCTACCAGAAATCTCTGATGGTGTCACGATATTGAAATGTTTAAAAAATTCACAGCTATTTTTCCCGTCAATGCTGACAAGCCGTACGTATGTGGCCAAATTTCATCTTCCAATTCCAAAAGATAGGATGCAGTTCTTCACCTTCCTGTCTTTTAGTCAAGTCACGTTTATTTGCATAGAATATTTCAGCAACAAGGCAGTTCAAAATGCTTGCAGAAAAACATCATACAGTCACCAACTATGAAATAAGCAATAAACATTAGATCAAGTAACTATGTGAAAAATTGCACAGCTTTTCACTTATCGATGTTAGAAATACTTTTCTAGTTCACTTCCTTTGCTGCCATTGCTAAAGCTATAGGCTATAGGACTACAATTCCGAACCAGCGCAGAAAATCGACATATCATTCATAACTTTTCCCTCTGTTTGCTGATTGGCCCGGTCAAAAATCTACCAGAGACAATCCGAGTCAAGAAGAGAAAGCCCAGACTGTGCTGGAAAGGAGAATGTTTTTTTTAGCATAATTTGCACAGGAAAGCTTTATTGAAACTGGATCTTGAAACTTGTTTTTTTTTTCCCCCACTATTTTCAACCTTTGTTGCTTTTCCATTGGAAAAAAAAAAGAGACAACTTAATCACAATTGTCTTATAACACTTGAGAGGGTTCCTTTGTTCTCTCCAAGATAGCTTTATGGTCTGTGAAGGCAGTGGAACTGATATTCATGCGAAAACATGCGAATCCTATGAGTTCTCCTTTAATTTAGGAACATTTCCCAACTGGAAACTTTCCTTCAACTATTCAGCTTAGTAAATGAATTCCCCACCTAATGAGGTTTACTATGTCATTTCAATAATATCATAAATCACATGCTGATTCAATATTCATTTATACAATATTGATTCTAAAATAAATAAATGAACTGTGATTACTTTGAGCTGTTTTCACAGCAGTGCAACCTCTTCTGGCTCTTTGCCAATCCGTCAGTATTTCAACACGTTCAGAGCTGCAAAGCTTCACAAGAGAAATAATCTCTGCTTTTAATCCATGTGATCTTTTAAATTCCACCGCCTGTCCAGCAGCCATAACACCACAGCGCAACAGCACCGCCTAGTGGTGGAGGTGGAGCATGGCGTTTTGGAAGACGCCGGTACTGCACTTAATTATTTTGTTCCACAGCAAAGCGATTATTTATTATCTGATAACACAATATATTACATAAAAATATATTTGAAACACATGTATGAGTTTTAAGGTAAAAGGTCAGCGCATCATTAGACAATGGAGGCTGAAGCAAAGTTGTTTTCACAAACTAATTTGTCAGTTCAATCATTTCCCTCTTGCCTATCCTGGAAAACATTCATTTCTGAGTAACAGTTTCTGTCTTTTAAGGTGTATAAGTTTATCCTGGAGATGACGTTACAACATCATCTGATAAATGTTCTTTTAAAAAGAAAAGCATGTTCGTTTAATCTTGAGCGGGCTTTTTCATTTGAGGATACGGGCATTCAGTTTTGAGTTGTTGGAAAAACCCTGGTTCCGTGTGTGTTTGTTTGGGACTTCCCAAAAACACCTCGACTTACTTCACAGTAAGTCGAGGTGTTTTTACTCCTCAAAAGGCTCAAAAGGAGCCTCTTTTTTTCTTAAGAGGAAAAGCTGATATTTACAAAAAGAAAAGCAATAAAAATCGCCCATTTTCATGCAATTTTAAAAAACTGAACTTATTATTTATTTTGTTTTTTACTTAATTTAAATAGAGAGCAGCGTGGGGCGCCAGCAGAATCGTCAGTATAAAAGCGTGACGAAACGCGGAAGTTTACGTCCAGTTGCGTGAACGCGTAGGAAAGCAATGGGGTCCTCGCGCAAGTTCTCCGCCGGCCTCCTTTTACTTTGCGTTTTCTTTTTTACAAAGTAAGTAAAGCGACGCTTTCACACACAGACTGTGGCTTCGTGAACTCGTCAAAATGCCTTTAATGACGCGCGGCGTGTGTTCGGGGACATTGCGAGACTGTCATGACCGAAACTCGATTCAGAACCTGTGGATATGGGGTTGAGTGAATTGGTTGTAAACGCGATTAAAATTTGGGAAAGAACTGGCTTTTGTCATAGAGGAGAAAGGACGTTTTAAAGAAACGAGCTGTTTTCATTTATCTGGGTTTAAGAAAGGGAAGGGTGTGGTGGTCGATACACGGTTCAGAAGAAGAAGAAGAAAGGGGGGGTTGCCAAATTCGCCGCAACACTGGAGTTCTAAATGAGTTTTTTCTTGTAACATGTTGGTAAATCCAGGGGCGCATTCAATCAAGCTGCATTCCAATAATACAAGATTTGCTTGAAATGTTTGTTTTCAGGAATGACCTAAAAGGAAACTAGTGATTGGTTTTACTTTCTGTTTTCAGAGCTGTTTTTGCAGAATCTACTCAACTGAATGGCACACACACTTTTCGTGTGAAAAGGCAGGGATGTCAAGATGGCACTTACGAGCACGAAGGCATAAACTGTTGCAAATGTGCAGCTGGTAAGTTTTATAAAGTTACTGTCTGAAAATACTCAGTCTAAGAAAATACGTTTTTGTTGTAAATCTGGGAATTATGGCTTTCTGCCCAGAGTCGTAAAGCGTTGGGGGAACATATGCCAAAAAACCAACATATTTATCCTGCTAAATCATGCTGATGTGGGATTAGGAATTGGCTTCCTGTGCAATTCCTCTAAAAAATAATAATAATAATAAATCTTACTTCCTGAACAGTTTGAGTTTTTTCCCCTTGACTAGGATTGTCTGATGGATTTTTAATTTTTTTTTACTAATCAGTGAATAGGAGGAGTTGATATCAACAGCCGCCTCGTTCAGATCAGCACTTTGCTTTTGGCAGTGGAGGATGGTTGTTTACAGCCCATCCGTCTGTCCATCCATCCAGTATACAACTGTATAAAACCTGCCACTATGGACATAAAAATGAAAAACAACAACAAAAAGTTATGTGAAAGAGAAGGAAAATTACAAAGTTTTGTAAATGTTTTGCACATCAAAACCTGAAAAGTGCGACGTGTATTTGTATTCACTCCCGTTTCCTCTTTACTCTTAAATGAAATTCAGTGCAACGGTTTGCTTCTTTACTCTCTGATTCATGTTTGTTTAAATTGCAGGTCAGCGAGTGGCAGAGCACTGCACTAAAACTGTAAGCGATGGAAGATGTGTATTCTGTGAAAACGGGTCAACTTATAACAGCGAACCCAATTCTAAGGTCTCCTGTGAAATCTGCACGTCCTGCGACCAAGAAAACGGTAAAATCCCAGCTGGAGCATTTTGCTTGTCGATTTTCTCAGACTATCTGATTAACTAAGTCTGACTAACTGAACAGTGCAGACTAACTGATGAAGTCGGCACCGTCATCCCCTTTTTCTGCACCGACTTATCCTTGCAGGATTGTATAGGGTGTACCATGGTGGCACACACCACAATGTCAAATTAAGTTTTGTTTTTTTTTTAACAGTGATTTGTTTTACTTTTAAGAAAAGTCTTAACTTTTTTGCAAGTACGTCAATAAATCACATGCTTATCACCTCTATCCACCTGCATTAATACAGCTGGATGAGACTGAACAAATTAATATTCTTTATATCAAGAGGATAATTTTCTATGTCAAGGACATAATCTCACTCTACTTTTAATTAGATATGTATCCCATTAAAAAGTCTCAGCTCTATTTATGTTTCTAAATATTTATATGAAATGGAACCAGGATAGTTTTGTAATATCAACAACCGTTTAATGTCTTGAGTAACTTGATTTTCATATTTTTGCACATGGTACTTGCAGAATTATTTGTTATACAGTTAATGTTTCAGAGATGTATGAAAGAAGAATGAGCTGCTTTTCAGTAAAGATTGGAGTAAACAAGAAATGCAGTGAACCAGAGCACTGAGTCTATTTTCAGCATTATGTGTGAAAAGTTCTCAGTATCGGTTAGAACTTTGTTTTGTTCTTTCAGCTAATTTAGAAGAAGAAGAGCCCTGCACCCCCTTAAAAGACAGAAAGTGTAGATGTAAGGAGGGTCACTACTGCAATTCTGCAGAAGGATCCTGTAAAATCTGCCATCCCTGTAACAGGTAAGCTTGCCTCTGTGGGATCTTTATGCTCAACCATTTATAGAACATCGTTTTAATTAAGTTTCTTGTTAGATTACACGGCACTTTTAGGGATGTGTTGGACAATCTTAAGACTTTTCTGATTAAATATAGTTCAGAAAATGAACCCTGACTCATTGGATTTAATTTTTGTAATTTAGTGTGTTTATTGAATGTTTTAAATTGCAAGTAAAATTAGAGTAATACAATAAATAACCATTCAACTTGAAGTTGTGTTGGTAAATAATAATAAAATAATAGCATGGATTATTTTTGTGCAATCAAAAATGTTTACGATCTTACAAGATAAGAATGTGCTTTTAAAAAGAAAAAATCTTTATATGAACTTTTAAAAACTTTAAATTTAGTGAATGGACTATTACAATCTAAATGCTGAGACCAGCTGGTGGGAAAATTGTTTTCATTGTATGTGCTTTTTTTCCGAAGTTGTTTCTGCTGACTTTGCGTTAAATTTGTAATTTTCAAACATTTTTACTGTGTATGCACTGAATGAATAAAAACAAGTCCAGGGTCTGGAAAAGGCAAGCAATTCACATGGTTTTATTATTTAAAGAACGTTGTGTGTCATTTTGAAAGCTTCATATTTGGATTCCTGTTAAACAAAACATCTTCCTCTTCCTCAAATGTATTTTGAGGAAAAAAAACTGACCTGGTCTACTCCTTACTTTAAGATGTTCTTCCACCGGCGTTAAAGAGCCCTGCACACTCACTAGTGATGCAATTTGCAAAGAGGAAAGTACAGGTGAGCTATTGTTGAATTTATTTTACAATTCAAATGGGTTTATAAAATTTACTTTGACTTCATGTATTAACAGGAATGGTGTGGAAGAGCTTATGATCAAAGCGTTATGTTTTCTGTTTAAGGTTTGTCAGGTGGTGCAGTCGCTGGCATTGTGATTACAGTTTTGGTTTTTGTCACTGTTGCCCTTGGAGTCGTGTTCAGGAAGAAAATTCTGGGTAAGCATACACAACTCAATACATGTTTACCAGATATTCATTTGGTTTTCAATAAACACCATTGTTTATCTTTTATAATAATAATAAGTCAGTCCATTAGTGAGTTACAAGAACAAACTGTTCTTATTTTTCTCTGTCTTTTTTTAACCATTTCTAAAGGGTTTTGGAAAAGAGACGCATCAAATCCCCCTGGCCCTGTGGTAAGTTAACTTAGCCACTTTTATATTTTAAGAGACTTGGCTTCTGTGTCATGTTCTCTAGATTCACCCAGACGACAAAGTTTTACAAATCCATCTGTTCTTTAATCTTAAACAAGCTGACCCTTTATGTAGGAGGGACAGGTTTGTTGTCCTCACTACTACTGTGGTTGTGTGAAAGTTTTGTGGAATAGCAAAATTATTCTGTAGATGGAAAGCTAAATAAAAGCTAATAATCTCTCTGTGCTTCACAGAATGACCCACTTCTTCCAGGTAAGACAGTATATGCCTTTGCATCGTCAATAAAGCTGTCGTGTGCATTTTCCTTGGTTGCCCCAAGTCATATCTTCCCTGTCTTTTCATCCCAGTGGACATGGAGCCGCACATTGTGGAAGTTGCAGAAATAATCGGCTGGAAAGTTATGAGCCAAATTGGACTCAGTTGTAAGATGGCAAATGCCATTGATAGTGTAAGACATAACCACCCTGGTGATAGTGATATGTGGACCCAAGAACTACTGAGAAGATGGATGGAGCTGCAGGGCAGGGCTGCCTCAGTAGAGCTGATCAAGACTCTGCGGAAAATGAGGCACAACAACAAGGCGGACCAAATCAAAGAGAAACTGTATCCCATCGACTCTCCTACAGTGTAGTTCTGCCTGACTGTTTTTAAACTTTTATGCTGTTGATAAAATAATAGCATGGATTATTTTTGTGCAATCAAAAATGTTTACGATCGTACAAGATTAGCATGTGCGTTTTTATTTAAAAAAAAAGTCCTTATGAACTTTTAAAAACTTTAAATTTAGCGAATGGACTATCGCAATCTAAATGCTGATACGAACTGGTGGGGAAAATTGTTTTTATTGTATTTGCTTTCTTTTCTGTAAGTTGCTCTTCCTGTCTTTCCGTTAAATTTGTAATTTTCAAACATTTTTACTCTGTATGCACTGAATGAATAAAAAGAAGTTCAAATATGTAAGAGGTCAAAAATACTTAGCAGGTATAGCATGCATTATTTAACTAGTTTTTAAAAGATTCAACATATGATCAAACATGGTTGAGTGAGTTTTATTTTGTCTTTATGTACATTTTAATACAAATGTGGTCTTCCTTTGTAATGTTATTACTCTAATTTCTGGACATGATTGTGAGGACTTTTTTAGATTTTTCATTAAAGATGTTGAAAATCTCAAATGCACTTAAATAATGGGGGGGACTAATTCATGTGCATATGGAGCATCAATTATCATATTTTGCTAAATAAAAGGTGAAAAAAAACAAGGGATATAAAGTTTTGTTGTGTTTTGTGGCAGAATATTACATACTGCCCTGGGAAGGCAACTACTATAAAAGTCAAATGTGATGCTACTAAATCACAAATCTATCGTTGGAAAGCGTGGAGTGGCATACAATCAAGAAAAGACACTTGACAAAGTACAAAGACACTTGTTTCAGCCTGGAAGCCTTGTTCTCTCAGCCTAAATGTGTGACTTTGGCATAGATTTGCATATTACTATTGCTATATATGACTTTTACTTTTTTTAGTGCTATTTTTTCTGAAGATTTGGAAAATTAGCAAAATATCCCAAGTGACTGTAAGTTCTGTGCCTGAAACGGATTCAGATACTGAATAAATTCCCAAAATCAGAAATGGTGTTTTAAAAAAAGCTTTGGAAGTTCATCTGGATTACATCAGATACTTAATCTTTATAGATTGTGCTTCACTTTGACTCTTATTGGGAGGAGGCAGCAGGAGCTTCTGGCTGCAACCAATTTTCAACATAACTTTGGTTTTTGTGCTATTTTAATATCTAAACTATTAATCGCAGTGCCAGAAATATCAAAACAATCTTTTTGCGTGAATGATCAAGATGTTTTAATATGCATCAGTTTTCTGTGGATATAAAATTCACTATGTTTTGACCAATTTCACAAGTGTATGACTGGTCAGGGTATTTATCCACCATTCACTTCTTCTCTCATGATGGAAATGATGTCTGACATTTTTTTCAGTTTCCCCATAAAATCATCTCCTGTTTTTTTTTCCACATTAAATATTGTATGATTGTTGCTATGCCACAAAAAAAAAAAAAAAAAAAAAAAAATCACCAGCTCCCTGCTTGCACGTTGAAATGCCTTGTTGCTGAAATGTGCTATATAAATCACATTTCATATCATTTTGCACCCAGTTTCCAGTACGTTAGTCACCCAAACGTTTCTCCAGATGGCAGCGCTCCGATATGTTCTGAAAGTCTGAGATGGACAGAGTGAAAAGGAATGGTAGGAGTACTGTGCCCTGTGGTGCTCCTGACCACCCAGGCATTGATATTCTCCTCATAAATATCTTGCCTGCTGACCTTTTATTTCATTTTATCCAGTGCTGAAGCTCCACCTTGTGGTTCAGAGACAATTTCAGTAAAACAACCCACAAACTAATGTTTTTGTATATATGTTGGCTGGTTTACATTTCTGTAAACCACATGATTAACTCAAGGTTATATGAGTTTGAAATTTGCAATCACTCAGTTCACATATTTTAGCAAGTAAAAAGTTGAGGCCTGCTGAATAATAATAATAATAATAATGCGCATTGAAAGCGTCACTGTTCAGAAAGCCCTAGTTTGGGGCGCAGTAGTGAAATCTGGGCGGTGTTTCTGTCTTTAACATGGGTGGAGCGCACAGCCAGGAAATGTCGAGAAGAGGAGGCTGAGTTGAGAGAAAACTGTCCCCGAGTTGTTCTCGCGGATTCTGCCGCTGCTGCTTTTACCGGATGGACTTTGTCGACACGAGCTTCCGCCAAGAAGGGCGCGCAGGTAGGTTTCGACGGCTCCGGGTTTGGATAAAACACCGTCTGCTTCTCTAAAGCCTTTTTCCCTTTTGCTGGAAGTCAGCGTGGGGATGCTGAAACACGCTGTCCAAATTACGCAAGACCTTTTCCCGGGAGGGTTTGAGTTGCTCTCTGTTGTTGTAAAAAAAACAAAAAAACTCATTTACGGTTCCTGGAGGCACAAAGGCTCATTTGTTCGCCGGTCAGGCTCCCGGTGACTCATTTGGTCTGGAAAAATGTTTGTCTACGCGCCACATTCAGCTTTCTATTTAGTTGCTAAGGCGACAAATGCGGAGCCGCCAACTGCCACAATTACGTCACTGTACTTGCCCCGTTTCTTTACGTCTTTCTGAAAAAAACATAGTGCGCTCTAAAGCTAATAATAACTACTGCCTACATATGCATATTTTTGTCATTTGTTTTTAACAGTGTTTCTTGTATTGGTGAGAAACAAAAATGTTCTGGTTTAAAGCGACCCCTCACAAAACATTTGATGTTTTCCTATACTCTGTCCCCTTTACTCTAATACCCCTAAGTCACATAATTGGTGAATAGAAATCCTTTTTGTTTAATGTCAGTATAAATGCAGCTCCCCTGTGAAGTTCTGATGTTTGCTAAAAAATAAAAATTGGGAGAAGAGACACCAAACCCATAAGAGGTTTAGCATGGTCTGGGTATAAAAAATTCCAAACTTTTAATATTTGACAGAGCGTGCTTCGATAAAGAAAGCATATGGCGCACAAGTGCAAACATGTATGAAATGGTTATCTACCTAAGTTTATTAGTTGGGCAAAGAGAGCATCATTTAGGAAACAGAAAGCAGGCCCTGTTGGGAGGAAGACGATTAGTTTAGTCCTCCATGAATCTGACCTTTATGAGAGAGTGAACAGAAGAAAATGATCTATGAAGACATTTTCTAGTTGGCAACTGCAGAATTAAAAAAAAAAAAAAATTCTGCTTCTTTACATGTTGGTCAAAGCAGCCCGCATGGTTCCGTTGCGATAAGTCATTTACAGTTTATGCCTTATGAAAGATAAGCAGCTGGACTTATTTTTTTTTTTGTGGTATGTTTTTGTAGCAGTGGCTTAACAAAGCTTATCTAATATGCGCTTCATTTGGGCGTCTCCTGTCAGCTTCACTTTCTGTTTTGATGCAAGTGTTGGAAGTATTTCTGGTGAGTAAGGCGTAGGAAAACCTCGTGGGTTTCTATGGCTTCAACATATGCCTTTACAGCTGCCATTTTAATGCCTCGGGCCGACAAGAAACAACTCGTGGTGCTCAAGTGAACTCATAATATGTTCACTTCCCTTTTCTGGTGCACCAAAATGTCAGATTAAAATGTTATCACTTTATGACGTTATGGGGATGGGAGATTGAACAATTCCTTCTCGAAGACACCTGCAGGGACTTTGTCAGCAAGTTAATGTAATTTTTTTGCGAAACAAGGGCATTTTGAACATTCTGCTCTTGTGTAACATGATATCTTAGGGGTGGTTTATATTAAGCTTTTGGGCTTATGTAATATCCTCTTTCCTATACAGCAGAAATGGAAAAGATAACTATCAATGTGGATGTTTGTAAGAAGAGTGCAAATGCCGTTTTGAGGGGGTGACATTTTCTGAAAGGTTTACTCTTTCTGCCTCAGCCGAGCATGATAGGGCGTCACTCAGCACACAGCGTCTGTTTTTAGTCGTACAGTCTGTGCATCCTGCAGTAGGAGGAGAGCTTCCTCGAAATAACTCCTATAAATTTGTATTGTCTTTTATTCATGTGAACTTTTACGAAAAGAAATATTTATGTTTCCGTTTCAGGATGTGAAATACAGCCGGCTCGATGTCTGCTTGGTGGCCGATCGGATGCGTTAAACTGCTAATTCAAGATGCAGGGAGCCATTGCACGCATCTGCATGGTGGTGGCCGCTGCCATACTGAACCACCCGCTACTCTTCCCCCGTGAAAACACCACGCTGCTGGAGCAAGATGAGGATCTGGTGGCTCGGATGCGGGAGCACGAAGAGATGCTGGAGATGGAGCATGCCAGGCTGGAGAAAGAACTTGCGCAGCTGGAGGAGACCCCGTCGGATCAAGGCCTCAGTTGGTACTTTTGGAGTGTTGTGTCTTTCGTCATATTCCTTGCCATCGAGATGTGCAGAGCAGATATTGCAGAAAACGAAATTCATCCTATTGAGGTGGAAGATGTAATGTATGAGACCGTATCCGCCCCACCCAGGATGATGGATAAGAATGCCCTGAGGAACTTCTGTGATAAATGCAGCTACACCTCGTCCCATGAAAACTGGAAGGTGAGGGAGTTTGTGGAGGGTTTTGCTGACAACCTGCTAGAGTCACTTTGGAGCATGTGTGACAGGGAGGTGGACATGGAGGTTGGTGATTTCATTGGCGTAGGAAGCATGTTTGAGTCTTGGAAGGTGTGCCAGCCTCTGATGTGTGACCTTTTAGTGCCTTTCTCACCTCCTGATCCTCACTCTTTCCAGTACCATCTGTGGTGCAGCTCCTCTAGTGACATTCCACCAGACATGCAATGTTGTGGCACCATAAAGGTGACCATGTCTGGGGAGGATGAAGAAGCCTGCCTATGTGGTTCTGCCAACTTTGGGGAGGACATGCTTTGTCTGTTGCATAATAAGAACAAGGTGGTCAAGGTGAACCGCAGCCCAGATGAACTCCTGTGCTCCCATGACACACATTTCTTAGCCAAAGATCAAGTCATGCGGTGGTTTCAGATCGCTGTGACCAAAGCGTGGGCCAGAATCTCCCACAAATACGACTTTGAGGTCACTTTTCGGAGCCTGGATGCTGCTGGTGCTTTGAAGATCCGATTCCGTTCTGGAAAAGTCATTGTACTGAACCTCATCCCCGTGGTGCAGCTGGAAGACACGAACGCTTATTTTGTATCGCACTTTCCATCAGATCACAACGGTTTCCCAGACCCATATTGGCCTCTCTCTTTAGCAGTCTGCGAGAAAAATTTGCTAAAATATTTAGCTAAGCGACTGCCACAAAATTCTTGCCACTTGCACTGCCTCCAGGTCTCTACTTTCCTGCACAGAAAGCAGATGAGTCTGACAGGAGAATCTGCCCTCACTAGCTACCACTTCAAGACCGCCATGATGCACTTGCTACTTAACACCAAGACCTCTGCCTGGGGAGCTGCCAGTTTGGAGCGTAGGCTTCAGGATGTGTTCAGCTTCTTGCAGAGGAGCTTGCAGGAGAAGAGACTGTACCACGCTCTAATTGGGAACAGGAAAGTGCCTCGGGACATTCGGGTTCCTGAGAGATTCCGCAAAGTAGAACCCATCAATCTGTTCAGGCCATTGGTGCTGAGGAGGGAGCTTTATGCAGCGACCGTCAGGCACTTCCAAGAGATGTTGAGAAATGCACCTGTTCTTATAGAAGAGTATACACCTTACTTATCCAATGGATGTTAACAGTAGCAGCTTGTAAGCTACTTATAAGTAGAGACACACTTTGATATGGCTCACCATCCAGGGCAGCTGAGCATGAGAGCAAGCACAGAATATTTGCCAATGAAATAGTTGGTGACTGATTCCCTGCTTTTTACGTACACTTAAGTCAAAAAATGATTCATACCTCTGGCAGATTTCAGATTGAATCTCTTCATTTCATGACGATGTTTAATCTGACTGACTGTGCAGGTTCAGGGTAATAATGAGACGGCTTTCCAACCTCAAAGACGTGAGCTCATCTCAAAAGATAAATTCTTACAAATACCATTTTTAGCATGCAAAAGCTGGTCAGCTGTTAGGATTTGATTGTTGTAATTCCAATTAAGCCATTTTTATTAAGAAGAATCTACATTTTTTATAAAACAAAATGTTATCAAAAAATATTCCCTTCACAATGTTTATTGTTTGAGATACGTCCCATTTCTGGTCAAAAATACATTTATTGAGAGAATGAAATGATTATAAACCAAAATGTGTCATGTAGTATGACTAATTTTAGGCTTAAATGCAACACTTAAAAGTGTCATAGTTACTGATAGGTTACATGTTGGAAAATATATGCAGTATTTTGAAGAAAGACCTATTCAACAAAAGAAAGGGTGCAGGCTACTCTTAACTTTTTTATTTATAATTGTATGTATTAACATAAACTGTAGAAACATAAAATTTCCTAAGTGGTTTTGTGATTGCACTTTTTAGTGATGAAGATGAGCAATACATTTTTAGAGGCAGAGCTGTTTAACAAGAACCTTTTGTTACTCCTAACTCTACCCAATCCAAAGGCAGCTCATACTTTTCCTTTTATTTTTACATTTTTTAAGGTATTGTTTGTGTCTGATATCTACAACTTATATTTAATAAAATTAGATCAAATAATTTTAACCACCGACTGAAACTGTATCATTTTTATTTTGTTTTAAAAAGTGATACATACAAAAGGGATACAAATTCATTTACTTTGTGACTGTTATCTCCATGAGAGTCAACATATCGAGTATAGAGAAAGTTCAGTGGACAGATTGATAACAGAGATGATTTGTGGTGCTGAATATAAATGGACGGATGAACGTTTTGTTTCTGTCACAGGCCGAGGTCATAGTCGGGTTTCCCCTCAGCAACGCTCTTGTAGAAGGCTTTGTAGGTGTCCATATTGAACATGGTTTTTTTTAACAGCTGGATCCTCCAGCATGTGCTCCGTCCACTTCTTCAGCTCAGGAGTGTGGTCCAGGCAGCTGGCAAGAAGAAGGAAATAAAATGATGCAGAGAAGAACAGTTCACAAGCACAGGTTTTCATTTTATTTGCTAAAAACTGATGACCGCAGTTAATAGCCAAGCACACAATGTTTTTGTTGTTTGTTTTAAATACTGTACTTGAACATTACTGCACTGACCAATAAGTAAATGGACTTCAAAACAAAGTGCTCTGCTTTTGTTGTATTTTTTAAATACTTTTTACCATAAATTATATCTTTTTAACTTCTGTTTTTTTTTTTTGCACATATTCGTACCTATTCAATGAATACTTTCCATAAATAAAATTACATATTTATGACATGGTTTATAAGTATTACTCACTGCTTCAGCTCCAAGGCCTCAATCCTCTCAAAAAAGGGCCACATCATGTAATCGATCATTGTGATGGTGTCGCCTTCAAAGAACTTTGTCTTTTTCTCCTCCAAGTGCTGAAAATCAATGACCTTCATCAGTGCTGTGTCAAGAATAGTACAGTACTTTGTCAACCAAAGTAACTAATTTAACCTTTAGGGTAAAAAGAAAGAAATATATCCCAATATGTATTTGACCCACCTTATTCAATTTAGCAAATTTCTCTTTCAGCTCAACTTCCTGTTGAGAGACATCCTCTCCATTCCTCCTTGCTGATGGGATCTTGTAGAAGTAAGGTGTTACCTAAATAAAAAAACAAAAGTAGAAGCATTTCTTTGAAGAAGACAGTAACCAAAAGCTAAAGAGTTTAATGCCAATTTTTTATGGACTTTACCTTGGAAAAATGCTCCAGCAGCATTCTTTGTTGGGCTTTTCCAAAAGGAGAGGATGGAAGAAGCTTCTTCTCAGGATACGCTTCATCCAGATACTCACAGGTGATGGGAGACTCGTATACAACTTCACCAGCAGATGTCTCCAGTGCGGGCACAAGACCCAGAGAGTTCTTTTCAAGAAACCACTCAGGTTTCTCTTTCAAATGGATGTTGATGGTGTCATATCTTGCATATGAAGCAAAATCGGGTTGTTCAGGAAGTGTGAAAATAATTAATGAATTAAAAAAAAGTTTTTTAAAATGTATTTTTACTTGATCCCTTTGGCGTTCAGCACTAATCTGGTCCTTTGAGCAAAAGGGCAGAATCTCATGCTGTAGAGACGCAGCTGACCTTTGGGAACAGGGCCAGGTGCAGAGCTTCCTAAGGTCAACCATGAAAAGGTTACTTTTTCATGACAAAATGCAACAAGACAAACAACAAACGTGTGTCCTCTTCTGATTATGTAATATCTAAAAATGTATGTTTTTCTTTAAATTCTCAATCATTTTCTAATCTTTCACATCAACATTTCGACTGAAAAATCTAATTCATAATAAATTAAAAAAAATAAAGACAAAGAATGAAAATCAGATCAAGTTGAGGTAAACTAGAATAACTATTTGAATGGGATGTGAGTAGACATGAAACAACAATCTGGCTTTTCGTAGAGCACATTACACCTAAGACATAAATGAGAAATATTAAAGTGTCAAACAACACAAATGCACCCATTGTAAGAGAACTTTTAAAGCGATTTTCTATAACTTGTGTTTTGAAAAAGTATACGCCCACTTTCAGATTTCTGCTTTGTCACACTATTGCACCGGAATCTCAGGAAGTGCAAAAACAAACCTTTACTCCAGTTATCGCCAGAATTTATTCATTTATGCCATTTACCAACACATTCATTTCATATTAAAAACTTTGATGCAAAGAAATTATGGCGCGCCAATGAGAGAAAAAAAAAAAAAAGAAAGAAAAAAACCTGTTTGTGTAATGCATCGTTAAGCTGGAGGGAAGAGGTCATATAACAGAGATTTATTCCCATCATTATTTCTGCCTGAGAGTGTCAATGAGGTTAGCGCTTCCGGGTTGGTTAAATAATTAAGCAAATTCTTGGAGAAAACAAACTGGACGACCCAACGCGGTACAAAGTTTAACAAACTGACAGCACGCAAGACATGGTCCCTATGTTGATTTATCTGGACGCGTCTTACCTTTAGCGAAACATTTTTCAGTAGCCATGGCGTTCCTGAGGACTGGGACCGAATGCGTTTGACCAGTGGTTACAACACGCTGCAAGGTGCAGAACTACTTTTCTCTGTGAGTTAACTACTTCCGGTGGAGGTGCGTCATGAAACTCTGAGCCAATAGCGCATTAGTGGGCGGATACAAATGAAAGGCGACTAGCACTAAATGTCATCATTTAACCCACCTTTTCTAAGGTGTAGTATAGTATGTACAACATGACAGAGGCCAGAATGACTTTGCAGAATGACTTTGCAATGACTAAGGAAGATTTATATATATATATAGTTTTTTAAATTGTGTCTTTTAAACGGTGCACCAGAAAGAGTGTTAGCTAGTGTTGACATAGAATTTTAAGTTAGCACAATACTGCACAGGATAGCTTTGACACATATAAAATATAACATAGAAAGTTAAAGTACACTCTAGGTTCATATAAATTTAGATGAAACTAAAAACAACGGCTCAATCTCTGAAACGCAGATAAATTCTTAAAAGGAGGATCAGACAGAAGAAACAGAAAACATAGGCCTAGACTCCTTGGATCTCTTGAGATAAGGAGCCTGTATGCCAGGCAATTAACAAATTCCTGAGCATGGTTCAAAAGTTCACTAGGATCTTAAAACTTTTTATAAATAATTTTATCTATATTAGAATTAACTATATTTCTTTAAGCATGTTTTTAATTAGTTACTTATTAGATCCAAACTTATAGTCATTATTTAGCATTACATTGTGTGCAAGCTTGGTTAAAAATACAAACTACTTTCTTGTGAAAACAGTTTGAGGCAGAAATAGCGCTGCAGCTGCAATCATATATCAAACTGGACAGCGGCTGATACGAGAAGGGTTTGCCGTATATCTGCTTTTGGGGCTCTTTAGCAGGAGGTAATAAAATTAACATTGAGACAGCCCACACAAAGGAAAAGAACACACCTCCTAATGCATATATTTAAATGAGGAGAATATGCAGTCTATAAAAAATGGTTTGTTTCACAGCAGAAGTTGGAATCTCTTTGTGCTGAGTGAGAGTTTCCCGGAGGATGCATCTTCTGTCTTTTTCACTCAATTCTTTGTCTCTGTTCTGTAATGTCTTGGACTTTTGATATTCTAGGTGAGGTGCTTATTGTAACATTCTTCTTGCATTGATTTTCTCTGGATAAAACTCTGAATATCTGAAGTCTGACGTCGTATGATTGCTCTTTTCTCTCTGCACACTTACACAGACACAGGAATTCGGGACTAAGAATTAATTAACGAGCTAAGATCAAGTTCTTCATCTTTTTAATTCTTAACACTAGCTACTTTTTTTCACCAAAATGAAAAAAGAAAAAAAAATTATTGAATCTTGTTCCATTGAATAATATAAAATGACTTTTTTTTTCTTAAGCTGCTCCATTTCAGATGCTTTCCAGAGTAAAAGTCTTCTAAGATGAAATCCTGAGAGTACTTATAAATACCTAGGAGAACTTATTGATGATAAATTGAGTTTAGGTTCCCCAGGTGAAGTCATTGGACAAAAGAGCCCATCCGTGTCACTAAAGCTTAACATATTTGGTTCTTGTTAAATTGTTGAATACTGGTGGAAAAGACTACCTCAAAGGTTGTTTTTTTTTTTTTTTTGTGGTAGTGTGAAGACTAAAGGCAGTCTGCTTTGAACTGAAGCCAAATTCCTTCTGTAGGACAATTATTGTTGTTAAATGTTTGAGAACTGTTGCCCTGAAGCAACTTGTATCCCTTTGGTGTTCATCATTCAGAATCAGCTCCAGCTTTGTGCTCACACATTCACCATCTAAGAGACGGAGCCAATGTTCAGCTTTCACACACAATATAATTTCTATTTATTGTGTGCAAATTGATGGGTGGTTTATAAATATGACCTACATTAATTGAATTGTAAAAGCTGTATTTACATAGTATGCATAGAGTGTTTGTCAAATAAGCATATTTGAATAATGTTATCCATGCAGACATTGGATTTGTCATGTTGCAGCTCTTTGGAGCTTCATTCTTTGAAAAAATAGTGTTTTATGACCATACATCTGTTTTATGACTTTAACCACATAACTTTTAGGAAATAGTGAAGAAGTGTTATAGTTGCATATTTACTTATTCAAACCTGACACCTTCATGTTTGAGCCTCTAAATCTTATGGCGCCAATAAGAGTGAAATATTGATTTAAAGATTTAAAAAAAAAACACACACAAAAGGATATCTTCGATTAAATATATTTTATTTTTAATTTTGACATGGATCTCTAATTTTAAAAAGAAATTTTGAACCAATACCCACTTTCACCCACCTTTTAAATGACCATTAGAAAAAAAGAATGCAATACATCGCAGCCATATGACGGAAATAGAGAACATGTAGACTTGTTTCTATGAAGCGTTGATTATTTGTTTCCTACAGGCCATAGTCATAGTCAGGTTTTCCATCCAGGAAGTTGTTGTAGAAGGTTTTGTGAGTCTCTGTGCTGTGCATGGTGGCTTTAACAGCTGGATCCTCCAGCATGCGCTCAGTCCACTTCTTCAGCTCAGGAGTGTGGTCCAGGCAGCTGAAAGATCCAGAGAAAACACTTTACAGCACATCAATTTCCAACTCTATGCCATCATTTGAACTTAATACATTCCCCAAGAAAGATATTTCAGAATAAAACTCAGGCCTTATGGTTGCCACTGACTATTGAGGTGTTGGGATCTCCTCTGATACCACCATTGACCTTTTTCCTGTACTTCTTGTTGGTTTAGTCTATTCTGAAAGATCTGAAAACCTTTTAAACCTAGAACACACAAATAAATAAATAAAAAAGAGTAAATAAAACTCACTGTTGTACTTCAAACATCCCAAGCCTCTCAAAGAATGGCCACATCATGTAGTCGATGAAGGTTATGGTATCACCACCAAAGAATGTTGTCTTTCTTTTCACCAAGTGCTGAAAAAAATATCACATTAAGCACTGCTAATAAGACATTAATGATTTATTTTTATGTTCTCCGACAAAAACTTAGAATAGTCTGACATGTTGACTGACCTGCTTCTCATGTAACCTTGTAAATGTATTGCTCCTAAAACATCTTGAAAATCTCAGAAACTGCAAATTGTGCGTTGACAATTGGCACAGACTTTTTTTTAATGCATTATCACCGTTACCTCTGATTGGTTTTCTGCAAAATGCCTGATTTTGAGCATTTTTCAAGCACAGGAAGCATTGAGGATGATATCTGGCAAATTCAAACAATCATTTCTTAATATTTTGGAATATTTTCCGATATTTTCTTGTGTTTCTAATATATTTCAGTCTTTCAGGGTAATTCATATTGATGATGATCCCCTTTCATTTTCATTGACTAACTCAGTTGTTTTTTTGTTTTTTTTTTCTTCCTGAGCAGAGTGACTGCAGAAAATGTTTTCCATTTTAGCAAAAATATTCCAACAGAAGACACAACTGTTTTCTCAAGCCACTTTTATCAGCAATGAATACCTGCATCAGATTAGGAAGACACTGAAAAGCTTTACTCAAAATTAGAAGAGCAGTAGCTCTTCAATTTCCACTATCATTACTGTCAGGGGTATTACTGTCCTCTGCAGAAGTTGCCATAGCAGTAGCAGCCGCTGTAATTTATTATGTCAATAAAATTCTTATCTAAAACATACATTGAAATAGATGCAAGGGTCAGAGGTCACGTCATTACACGGAATTAAATAGATATAAATGTGCAGCATGTGAGTACATGCCTGAGACACCCTCATGTTTGCCGGTTTGGCAGGCGTAGTTTAACATTTTTATGAACACCGAGTTAAGGGCTTTTAATTTTTTTTCCCTCTTACATGATAAGTAACTGCTGTTATTTATAAGAAAAAAAATCGGGTCTGCAAGTTTCAATTTATTTGTAATTAACAGAAAACTAAGGAAAGGAGTCATTTCAGTCGCTGTCAACAGGTAAGTCATTTTTTATTTTATTTTATCTTTTATTTTACATCTCCACGAGTAGAGATGGTGCTGACCACTAAAAATGACATCACCTGAAATGTGCAGCTGACCACGTGGACAAAAAGAGCCTTTTGGTGAAAAAAAATTTCGTTGCGCAACTTTTTTTTCCTCCCAGGAAAACCTGCTCTTCCCGTTTCATGACTCTCTCTGTCTGACTGTGATTTCTTATGGTTAGATAGACAAAAAAAAAAAAAAGAGGTAGACTGAAAGCAAAGTTTGCAGGAGACAAAAAGCCAGATCGAAGTTTAAGTCTACAGTCACTTAGGTGATTAATTTAAAAGGTAACTTTATTTATTGTTCCTGTTAAACTAAAATATCCAGCATGGGGAAATGGGATGATCTCAGGTTTTTTTGACAATGGCCAGATGAGATAAAAATTGAGAATTTAGATCTATAACAACAAGAGGTATGTTGGAGAAGTAAAGAGGAGGCTTTTTATAAAATAAAAACTCTTTGCTAACTGTGAATCAGGGCGTAAAGTAAAGTAGATTAGATAATTAAGAAGAAGAGCTAACGACAAAATGATCTCAATCAAGGTGGTGAAATTTATGCACAATGAACAGGACAATTATGTGTACTAAATACAAAGAAAAATATATCTGAAAACCTGTGGATTGTCGCAGACATTCAATCAGTCGTGTCAAGAATAATTTACACGCTCACTTTAAGTTGAATTAAAGTCACACTAATACAGCCAATTTTTGTTTTAGAAGCCCATAAAAGTTGTACATTACAAAAACAAACAAATAAATCAATATTTATTTGTTTGGACACTTTCCCCAAAATATATTACAACTTACTTGGTTTAAATTGGTGAACTTCTCCTTCAGTTCTGCTTCTAATCCTGACACATCATCACCCTTTCTTCTTGCTGATGAGATCTTGAAGAAGTGTGGTGTTATCTACAGAAGACAAGATAGATTTCTCTCATTTTTCTTCCCCCATACAAAACAGAAAAACATTCAGTATCCACATGCAACCAGCACCAAAGATGTACATGGCGACATTCTTCGTAACACACCTTGGAAAAATGCTCCAGCAGCATTTTTTGTTGGGCTTTCCCAAAAGGATCTGCCGGAAGCAGCTTCTTCTCAGGATACGCTTCATCCAGGAACTCGGAGGTGATGACAGACTCAGTCACCACTTCACCAGCAGGCGTTTCGATTGTAGGAACGAGACCGTCAGGGTTCTTCTCAAGGAACCAGTCGGGTTTCTGTTTCAAGTGGATGTTGATGGTTTCAAACCTAAAAAAAAAAAAAAAGAGACAAAAAAAAAAAAGAAAAAGACCAAAAAACACCTTTAAGTAAGGGGGAAAAAAACATATTTCAGGGTTGGATATGAAGTTTCTCATATTGAGAAAAACACAATTTTATTTAGTTACTTGATCCCTTTGGCGTGCAACATCAGTCTGGTTCTTTGGGCAAAAGGGCAGAATCTCATGCTGTACAGACGCAGCTGACCTTTCGGCACCGGACCAGGTGCAGGACTTCCTGTTTCAAATTTAAATGCAACATTGAAACCACGTTGATTATTATTATTATTATTTATTTTTTCACATTGTGTTTTGTCTCTGTAATCCTCAAAATGCTCTACTTTAAAACACGAGCGCCTTCTTTCTGAAAATAAGGTTCTGCAAAAGCGCAGCTGCAGGTTGTTACTATGTCATAAACAAAGAGAATACTTTAGGTCCGATGATAATCGTCAGCAGATCTCAGCAAAACAAACTGAACTTATTATAATCGTCTAATTTATTAGTCTCCATTGGAAACGAGGTCAATCTTACCCGCGGCGAGGCTCTTTTCGAAAGACATCGTTGCGGTGAAACTTGTCAAAAATAATTGCGCAGAACCAAACACACGGAACTGAGTGCGCGGAAAGAAGCTGCAATCCTTTATTTAAGGAACTTCCTCCGGGGAGGAGACGTCCGGTCCGAGGAGGTTTTCTAGAGAAACTCGACAGAAACCCCGTTTCCTTTGTTTCCTGTCCGGGAGTCAGCGGGCTTATAAACACAAGAGCTTGTCAGTAAAATATTATTATATTATAAAAAAAAAAAAAAAAAAAAAAAAAAAAAAAAAAAAAAAAAAAAAAATATATATATATATATATATATATATATATATATATATATTATATATATATATATATATATATATATATTGCGGCAATTCATTAAAAAGAAAAGTAAAAAAATTATGACGCACGGTGTTAGTTGTTTAGTGACAATAAAATGACAATCACAGAATGCATTGGAAAGCAATGAAAAGATCACGATGACTTTGCACTTTGATCAAACACGGAACAGCCAGGAGAACCGCTGAGTAACTACGTGACTCAGCATATTTTTTATTTATTTTTTATAATATAGGACACAAAATTACAAAATGCAAACCCAAAGCAGATCCAAAATAGGGATGATGATATCTCTATGATATTCTAGCTCTCATATTAAATTATATGACGCAAAAATAATGCATGTGTTGCTGGTGATGGCAACCTGTCCAAGTAGAATGGAAATAATGTTTACTGTCCCTCGGTGGGGGAATTCATGTGTATCACCAGCAGGAATAATGACAAAAAATAAGAACAAAATCAACTGTACGGCTTCAAAGCAACTAAGCAACAGCTGGATGGTGCTGTCTGAAGATGGCGTGCCTCTTATTAGACATCAAATATATGCCATTTCTGTTCCATAAGCATACTTCTGGCATAGCAATAAATCTCTTCAGCTATGCAGTTTCTCAGACTATCAGTGGGCCATTTGGATTTTTGTTTCACCCGACCACATGTGGAGGGTCAGAAGTCTTTCTCTTTGCCCACATGACATTTTGCAAAAGATTTTGTGGGAATTACTCAGACAACTGACTTCTTCTAGGTCTGCAACCATGGGATTCAGTAGAATACAGTCTCTGTTGGACTGTCTGCCTTGAGATGTGGACATAGACATGGCTATCTACAAGGTGGCCTTGGTGGTAATCTTTTTCTTTCCTTTTTGCCGTTTTCCCTTTGAATTTTTCCACACGGTTCAACTTCTTGTGTTTTTAATATGATACCTGAGCAAGAAGGAGAGAATATTAGATATAGACTCTACTTCCTGTACTGTTTTTGTTGTATTCTTTGCTGCATAAGTTGCTGAATGGGGCTCTGGCCACTACACAGTGACTTGGGACTGGATGTGTTCCACCCAGCACTGGTAAATGCCCCACTGATAAGTGCACATTTATCAGTGAGGGCAAGCAAACGTTTCTACAAAAACCTGCAACTCACTCTGGAACATGTGCGACATAGTGCACACCTTTCACCCTCTTACTCTCTCACCCCATTTGCTGCCTTATTATTTGTATAGCTGTATACACACCTCACTTATTGAAAAGAAGTGTGCACCACTCCCTTGTAAGCCTGACACTCCCTGGATTATATATTCATTCAGAAGTCAAGAGTTAGAATAAAAATGATCGCATCAGTTATTTCAAATTTTGCTGAGATGGGAGGGTTTTTATGCTTTTCTTGTAATTGTTTACTTTGATGCTTATAGTTAACCAAAATGACTCAGCATCCACTGCTAATGCCAGATACATTGTTTTATAAAGGTTGTTGCATAATACCGAGACCTACGTCATACTTTAAAATCCGGTTCTACCAAATTCTGTAAAGTTTTAAAAGAATAATTCTCCCTATTATTATTCAAGCTCTTATTAAACAGATGCTTTGGTAAAACTAAATGACCTAAAACAGAAAAAGTTGAGTCTGATTAGAAACTGACAAAGGTTAAGTGCCTTTTACGAGGTATTTTCATGTTTCGTTCCGAAAGCAAATTTTAATGACATGAAACCTCACAAACTAACAGTTCATAGCAGAACCTTTCAAATCCCCGTATAGTCACTGCTGTATGGGAAAAGTCTAATTACCAGTGAATATTGATTGTTAAACACATTGTGTCTGAGAGTGTGAGTCCTTTTTCTTGACTATTGTCCTGCTTAGATCTTTACATGTGATGTGAAAGAAAAGAAAAAAAAAACTAATCAAATTCAGAGTAGAAACCTCATAGATTTATTGTTTTAAATCACAGTTATTTTTTTGACAAAGTTGATCAAAAGCAATTTCATTCAGAAAATAAGAGTCAAAAAACTTTATGATATGAATTTCATTTTTTTTTTTTTTTGCCCTCAACTATCAGTTGTTTTCTACAGGCCACAGTCATAGTCGGGATTCTCAATAGCGTATCCCTTGAAGAAGGCCTTGTGGGATTCCACGCTGTGGATTGTGGCTTTAACAGCCGGGTCCTCAAGCATATGGGCTCTCCATTTCTTCAGCTCAGGTGTGTTGTCAAAAAAGCTCTAAAGAATGGGTAAACCAGTCAGTCACAGGACAGCATATTAGTATATAGCTCATATGTATGCAGCCTTTATCTATATTTATAAGCTTAGAATGATTTGACTTGCTGAAAAAAATACTTGCAAGTTGTAGTAGCTGGAAATAGTTTGTTAATCATTTCAGTTATTAAATTATAAAGAACCAATTTGTCCTGAAGAAGTCTTTCTAACAAATGTTAAGAGCATGAGTTTTAAAACTATATTACAACTGAAATCAAATTTCTGATTATATTAACAACACAAAATAATGAGTATTCTCCATTTTAGAAATATTCCATGTTTTTATTTTTGCCTTTTTCATTGCACAGTTTATTTGGGTAGTTCACAACAACGACAACAGAAAAGTATTAGCACTCACGGTTGCAGGTCACCCATTTCAATCCTCTCAAAAAATGGCCACAACATGTAGTCGATCATTGTGATGGTATCACCATCCAAGAACTTTGTTTTCTTCTTCGCAAGGTGCTAAAAGTAAAAATAAATGTGTTGCACGGACACCATTTTAGCTCTGCAGTCTGACAAGACTGTTTTAACCTATAAAACAATACTTTACAACTGGTGGCTAAAGTAAAAAAAAAATGTTTTATACACATATATAAAATGTTCTAACTTGGTCAAAGCCACTTTCAGCTCATCTTCTAGTCCTGAGACATCTTCCGCTTTCGACCTCCGCACTGGGATCTTGTAGAAGTGCAGCTCCACCTACAGAAACATTTGTTGCTTTTAGGGGTCTGTGAGTCTACAACAAACCCCTAAGATTTGGGTTCAACATTTTCCACATAACATACTTTGGAAAATTGCTCCAGCATCATTCTTTGCCGGGCTTTACCAAAAGGTGTTGGAGGGAAGCAGCTTTTTCTCTGGATACGCTTCATCCAGGTATTCACAGGTGATTGAAGATTCGTAGATCACCTCACCAGCAGGTGTCTCCAGTGTTGGCACCATACTAAGAGAGTTCTTCTCAAGGAACCATTCTGGTTTGTTTCTCAAGTGAATGTTGATGGTGCTAAATCTGGAAAACACACACACACACGCACAGAGAAACAAAGTTCTGCAGTGCCTCAAAGAAATGAAATGTTTCTCAAATGTATATCAGGAACAAACATGTTGCCTATGACAGATACATTCTGAGGCAGCATTACTTGATGCCTTTGGCGTGCAGCACTAGCCTGGTCCTCTGGACATAAGGACAAAATCTCATGCTTTAAAGACGTATGCTGTCTTTGGGGACCGGCCCAGGTTCAGGGGCTCCTGAGTGTCACAAAAAAATACTAATACAAAAATATGCAAATGTATTTAGAGTATGTATCTAGAGTATTAAGTATTGAGTACCCATTATTGTTGTGTAATAGAGACTGGTATTTCTATGTATGGTGTTTTTGAGCTTTCATGTAATAAGAAAAAAAACTACATACAAAGTCTGTACACACAGTTACACATTAATATACCCTGGAATCTGTAAATATGAATCATTAGCAATAACCCATCATAAATGAGTATCATGCACTCAATAATGCTCACTCTGTCAATATCAACCAGACGTTGGAGATTTACAAGATCAATTCTATGCAACTAATGACTTAACATCTGCCATACTGTTAAGTTATACTTTTTTCTGACAACTGTGCGTTATTTAACATACTTTAAAACACATGTCAAACTCAAGGCCTGCCATAAATTTTTATAGGGCTCTCTATTGTAGGGAGACATAAATAGAACATTCAAGGTAACTTTGTAATGTGTTCATTCAATATGAAAAGATATTTATCTATCAAACTTTAGCAGTTTCTATCTGTATACTGCCAAATCACATCACTGTGACAAGATGTTCAATATTATTTCATAAGTATTCATGAAATGTAGACAAGGTCATTTGTTAATATTTTTACAATTTGGAGAAATAAGAGTAGGAATAAGACAACATGCTTCAACGTCAACTAACCTGATTAAAAAAATATTTTAAGAAGAAAAATGTAAAATTTTAAAGTTTTACCTTTGATCACGCTTTTTTCACTGGACATGTTTGCACTTGGAACTTGGCACCGCAGACTTCAGGAACTTACAGGAACTTAACTGTGGAAGTCTTTTTTTTCCATGTGCTTTTATTTTGTACGCCACCGGTGCACGTGGTGTTCAACAGCCAATAGCGTGACAGGTAGGCCGTGCCATCCGTTAGTGGTTGCTATGGATACGAAACCACTTGTCTACGAATTCTTGAAAACTCGGACCTGTAGAAGCGCCCGGTCACATTCTTGAATTAAAATGAGCAAATTTGGAAGCTTAGACATAAGGTAAATTTCTTCGGTTTTATTACAACTTCATTCCTGAAGAAAACCGCCAGTTTCCTCTGTGCCCGGTATTGCTCATATAACTTCTCTGCTTTCTCACCCTCGGCTAGCTGGATTCAAGGATTTCCAAGAGACAACGTCGAGTTCGTGAGTAGTAATACAGTGTGTTACGCGTGCGGGGCTCACATATGCTTCCTGCACCTGGAGACAGAAAGACGGAGCGTGTTTCAGAGTCCTGGCAGTGGCGTCGGAGCGCTGACAACTGACTGCAGAAGCGGGACGTTTGCTTTCTCCGAGAGAGACCTGAATCCGTCTATATATGTGTACAACTTCCCGCAATTAGAACTGAAGAACGAACTGAAAGGTCGTTAGCTTTTATCCACATGTTGTCGCGAAACGTAGGCATTGTAGTAAACTTTGAGTGTTTTATTGCAGGGAATACGCCTCTGGACTATACATCTTTGACATTAAGTGATGGAGGGCCTTTTTTGGTCTCCTGCTCGTCGCTTCCTGACTACTCCATCACACTGTGGTAAGACACCAAAGTGGGTTTTTTTGTTTTTGACCCCAAAAGCGACTTTGAAATCACCTTCACGCCCACAAAAAAATCGCTCTATTGATATGAAAATCGGTCGTGACATCACACCCCAAAAATGTTTTCGAAATTTCTCAAGGGATTGCTTCAAACAGTTAGATTTCTGTCTCTCCCTCACATGACAGTTGGCAGAGAGCGAAGCTTCTCTTTAGAACTAGCATGACTGCCGGTTAGAACTTCAACATGGCGGAACGTTAGAACATGACAGAACGTTTTGGGCATTTAACCCAACCACTGTTCCCCATAGGATCAGTGTAGCCCTCTGAAATAAAGTTTACTGAAAATTTCAAAATAAAAGTGAATTGAAGACAGCCATCACATCGGGGGACGTTTTTTAAAAATTAATATCAAGAGCAGTCAAAAGTGTATTATACAATAACAGTAGAAAGTTTCCAGAGAGAATAATGGAAATGTGTCTTCCTGTCTACAATCAGAAAGCAGCTCTGGCTGCTTTCTGTACATGGTATATAGGAGACATATGGCTTTATTTCAACGCTGTTTTCCTTTTTGCTACTCTTCCATAGTGGTCAGATTTATGGACTGACCAACTAGTAGTTTTTCTATCAACGTCCCCCAGCTGATTCTTAGATTTCTGCAACTCCTACAAAATGAACATGTCTCTTGTCTTCTTCTCTGATTGAACCTTCTCTGATTGGACATTCCAAGCAGAATGTCCATGTTCTCCTGATTGATGCAGAGGTTCTATTTGGATACTCTGGCATTCTCCCATCTTTCAAAGGCATGGCTGCTGTGTTTGATGGTTACTCAAGTTGCCCTAGGTGTGAGTGTGTGCATGTGTGGTTGTTCTGTGTCTCTTACTGCACTGTCATAGATTGGATGCTGTAGGTATGCATCAGCTCCCATCTTGGGTGAATGGATAAGCAGGAATAAATGAGGGATGGATAGATGGATAGTGAAAGCAATTAGGTATTTTTCTGTCACTTTGTGTTGGTCTATCAATTTGTGGTTGCAACAAAAAATGAAATATGAATGAATGAGCACCTCATACACTTTAATGTTTATCCCAATAAGGCATTTATACTAATTCTGTGTACAGGAACTGGGAAAAGGCTGAGTTGATCTGTGTACAGCCTCAAGCCGGACGGGATGTCATTCATTTGGCGTTCAACCCCATGAATTGCTTCCAGCTTTGTGCTTTGGGCACCACAACCCTCACTGTTTGGAACATAGAGAGATGTGGGTCTTTCCATCTGTTGAAACCAAGGTAAAAAAAAAACATATATATATAAAAAAAACACACACAGAAATAATCTGTGAAATTCACCTATAAGTGGATTGTTCAGGAATATAACCAACATTATTTAGAGGTAACATAACACATGTATTTATAGTTGAAGTGGTAATCTTACAGAAAAATTGTCAAGAAGAAATATCAAGTTGTGATTTACATTTGTAGATTTACTTTTGTCCCATTGCAGAGCAATACAGCTTCCAGAAATCCCGGATTCCTCTTCAGAGAAACCAACTCTCACTTCCACAAAGGACCCAAATTGTATTTCTCAAATTCTGGCTGCCCTTTCAGAGGTCTCAAAAAATAAACCTTTTACCTGTGAAGTATTTCCCCACTGTTTAGAGAAAAGAAACATTTAACCACAACAGTTGAACCATTTGTTAGAATAAACTTTATCCAAACAAAACGACAAAATGTTGATTGCAACTCAACTTGTGTTCAAACAGCCTACGGCAGCCAGAGTAACACCATCTACCATATGCTGGACAGCCACATCACACCTTTGTGTGGGCTGCGCTGAAGGCTATGTCCTTCTTGTTGACCCTGAGAGCCTCTCTGTTTCTGCCCTTGTTGACCCTAATGGTAAACTAAATTGTACACAAGTCATAGTACCCCTGTTATTCACCTGAGTGGAATAATTTCCTGTTTCTTTTGTTTTTAGCTGCGGATGCAATTCCTGAGCTCAAAAACTTCTATTTTCAATCTCTAGCCATTTATAGCGATGGTCTTGTTGCAGTGGGAAAGGTATGCGGCATGAACACAAAACAACACAACATTCTCAAATAAAAGAACTTGAAATATTTTAATGTTTTTCAGGAGAGTGTGATGCACTGTCTGCAGACCAAAGGGACTCAGATCAGTATCACGCAAACTTGGGAGTTAGAGAGACCTGTTTCGACTGCAGTGGTCTCCCCCAACAACAGCACAGTGCTTCTGTTCACCAATACAGTAAGCACCTAAATGTGGTTTAATCTTCATGTGGTATTCCATTGAGCTTTACATACTAGCTAAATGTGAATTTGGTCAATCTTTCAGGGGCAGTTCTATGTGCTGAATGCAAAAAAGTCAAACCAGATTGAGAAGGTCTTGGATATTCTCAGTGGCGACTTTTTGACAGCTGCTTTGTTTTCTGACAAGAACATTTGTGTGGTAAAGTATTTAAGTTGCCTGTAAATCTGGCTACAGTGTGTCGTTATAGCCTATATAATTTAGCTGTGAGCTGTTGTGTTTACATTTCCACTGACTTGTAGTCATTAAGGGATAGTGGCGTTCTGCAGCTGTGGTCCTCCAATGGCACCTACCTCACCTCCCTCTCCCTAGAAGCAGAGGTAAGATCGACATCGAGTAAAACTAAGGATTCCACAAGCGTATTAAATATCTTCAGATTTGTCAGAGCATAATTAAATGACAACAGTGTATCGAGATAATTTACGTCTGTTTAGGTGACAAACATCACCTGCTCTCCCATTGCACATTACGCCGCTCTTGGAACAGCATCAGGAAAAATCCTTTTCGTTGACTTGAACTATGAGAAGCAGCTTCGACTGGTGCATCAGGTTTATCTCTACCACACTGCTGTGGATCATCTAGTGCAAGTATCCTCCATCGCTGAAAGAGCATCAACTTTCAAATGTCTCGTGACACATAAATGCATTAAGCTTAAGAGAGAAGCTTTTAGTTTTGGGTCACGATAATAAAACCGAGACGTCATTTTACAGTTTTGATCAAGAAGGGCGCTACCTTTTCTGCAGTGGACTGGATTCACATGTTTTTGTAATCGATGGAAGGCCATCAGCAAAGTTTTCAGTTGTGGGATACGTTGGTAAGAATATGTTTCAAAGACTCATGTGAGAATTCTTGAGCTTTATTACAAACAATCCTGTATGTGTTCTTCTCCAGAGGTTCCTGGCAGAATTTTGTCACTTTCCACACAATGCGCCAGCCGTGGTGAGGATGTGAAAGTTCTTGCACTCTGTGCTTCACAAGAGGAGAAAAAGGATGAGGGGAGCTTGCTGCTGATATTTTTTCTACCTTTCAAGGGCCTTGGAGGTAAAAAGCACATTGGTTACATACAAGCTGTAGTAAAAAAACAAAAACACCAAACAGCAATCTTGTCTCTTTCACATAAAGTCATGGAGCCACAAATCTAGATTCACTATGTGAGAAGACGAATCAAAGCACAGGACACATTTATCAGGTCAAAAGCAGCTGATTAATCATCTCATGAGAAATGTGTGGGTTGATTTAGCAGACCTTAAAGGAATTTCTCTCTGCCCTTTCATGTTTTTGTGTAAAAGCCTTGAGTTCTTGGTTTAAAAAAAAAAAACTTTACAAATTGATGCCCGTGATTTGGGTATTTTAAAAACACCCTTGTTTGAAGAACCGACACCTAAACTTCTGAATGACACAGCAGTTTAAGCTTAGTACCAGAGCAATGACTTGCAATAAATATGATTCAGAATAAATAAATGTGGCTAATATTTTCTGTGGTGCTATCTTTATTGCTAAACCTGATATTGTTGTGCTTCTGCTCACCTTTAGGTTTTTTTACTGTAGAAAGGAATGGTTGTCTGAACATTCCCAGAGTAACGAGACTCAAAGTGCAAGTTCCACTGACTTCTTGCATTCTTGGCGTCGGTGAGGCCTTTGGTTATTGCCACAGAAAAAAATCTCTTCAGCGATTTCAGTTTCCAGAGGTTTGATCCCAAATGATATTTTCCTTGCGTCTCTATAAGTTAGGAATTGTGCCTAAACTTAGGTACGATTCCTTACACTAATTGGAATTAAACTATTTTCTGACCCCTTTTTGTTGACTTAGGACTCATTTGGTTTCATCAGCAAAAAGAGGGTCCAACTAACCCCAAAGGATGAAGTTAATATTCAGCTGCCCGGCCGTGCCACTCTCCTTTTGTCTCCTGACAGTATGTT